GCTTGCATTCAGAAAAATCAGAGTACTGACAATACTCTGGAAATACGTTTTTGCTGTAGAACTGAGAAAAACTACAAACCTTATAAAAAAATTGAATTTATGAAAATTGCCAGCAGAAGATCTAGAATAACTACATGTGACTGAATATACTGAGAAAGATTTTTATGATTTTAATGTTTTTTAAAAATATTTGTTTTTAATGTCTTTTTATTTCTAGAACACTTGCCTTTGAACTGCACTATAGATCATACAGATTTGTATCTTTTGTGCACAAACTGGAACATTTGTTTTTTTTTCTCTCTCATTTCATTATGAAAAAAAAAAAAAACTTGTAATGAATATTTGTACTTCTCGTGCCAATATGTCTATCTTTGCATAATCTCAATGGGGAATTTTACTTGTCTCTCCTTTAACTACAGAATTGGAAACATGTTTTATTACTTGGCTTTGATTGGAATGCTGGGAGTTGAATTTGAGCTGAGCCTAGAAGAGCCTGTCACTCTGCTTGTAGGGTTTCAGAGACCTCCAATGAAAGTGGGGAATCTTGACACTACTGGTGAGACTGGAAAAGCCTGAAGAAAAAGCCCTGGGAACCTTGAGGAGAGAAAATATCAGGTGGATTCTGGTAAGACTGTGGTCTTAATCCTGACATCTGAAAGGATCAGCTGTGGAGCCCTCGCTCTAAGCCCTTATGGAGTATTCAAAAAAGCCAACAAGATTCTGCTTGTGTTGCTGCATCTTCCACAATAAAAAAAAAAAAACCCTGATGATGGTTCAGTTCAGCAGGAAGTAGCCAGATGACTATGACACCCTGTTTTCCCATATGGAAGTCAAACTAAATGAAAGGTCATACCTGACAGTGGGAAAAATGATGCAGCAACAAGGTATGTTTCTCTATGTTCCACAAGATAAGCTCTCCCATTTCCTTTATTTTCCCTTTAGGCTTAAGAAACCCTCATTGTTTACATTATGAAGGAAAAGAGCTTCCCTACAAAGATAACATCAGAATTTCTCACCACCAGATGATGGAGAAAGCAAGCTGGCATCAAACAGTATCACCAGACACTTGTATCGCAAGGATGGACAAACTGATGCTTTTGTACATTTATGTCTCTATTCCCTTGTAAATCTAGATAAACACCCCTGAACTCTGCTGAAAAGCAGGATGATGGTCTTTCATGCACTAGTCTGCTGTCCTCCTTAAACTGTTGACAAATTAAACTACTTTTCTTCTCCTCATACTGTTTTCTTTTATTGGCCAGAAGAATTGATACTGGATAGCATTCTGGTATCACTCATACTCTAGGAAACCAGCATCAAGAAGATCCAGGTATGTGGAGTTAGTGACCATTTTACCCCAGGATCTGGGCTAGCTTTGCTCTAGAAAAAGTGTTTGGTATTGGTAGAACAAGAAGTCTGCCATTTGAGGGAAACTATGTTTTTCAAGGTTTCTCTTTCTTGTTTTGGTATCATTGTTCCCTGCTTCCCCTATCTTGTCAGCTTGGTTGACTTGAATTCTTATCCCACCTTGATTTCTGGTTTATCCTTAATTAACAGGTCCTACTAGCTGATCTGCAGTTTATTCATCATTCCATTTTAGTCTTCTCAGGCATCTTGGCTCCTAAACTAGCTCACCATTCATCTTGTTTTATCCTTTTATTCCTAGTCTTCACCTCATTATTTGTGTCCTGACTCTTCATTCTATCTCCTATAGCTTCGGTTTTCCAGAGCTAAATTTCACAGTTCACTTAATGTCAACCTTGGTGAAAAATTCAAATTAATATGGTCTGAGTGACCCTAAAATAAAACAGCTTCCTAAATGTTTTTCTCTCTATGACTAGTTGTTGTGAGGGTATATATGTCACAGTAAGAAGAATGGGTACATGTTGTAGGAAAATAAAGTGTTAATGTCGTTTTGCCCGGGACATTGGAAGATGTGCAACCACCTTTTGGCCTCCTGATCCGGGAGCCTGGTCAGCGCCCGGACCAGGAGCCAAAAGATAGGGCTGGTTATGTAACTGTTCACGATGTCCGGGACCACCAAGAAATTTGGCTGGTTATGTAAGTCCGGGGCGTTGTGTGCAGAAACATGACCAGCCCACCACGAATCCCTGAGCTTGTATACTGGCCATATCCGACCTTGGGAGATAAAAACACAGTGGTCACCCAGATGCTGCTGTTCGCAGCTGCTGGACTTGGATACGTCTCCCGTGCTGTTCTCCAGAGTGCTGATTCTTTGTCTCCATGATGCTGTTCTCCGGAGTGCTGACTTTTTGCCTCCGTGATGCTGTTTTCCGGAGTGCTGACTCTTTGCCTCCGTGTAGGGTAAAGAAAATATCAGGCTTTTCTGCCCTTCCGCCATCAGGATAGATGATGGATCCTTGTCCTGAATGCATGCCTGATGGCGGGCACCTGGAATACGGTGTGGGCATAGGTAGATGGGATTCAGCTGAGCTAAGACTGTGCTTTTAAGGGCGGCGTCACGGGGACGCCAGCAGTAGCAGCAGCAGCAGCAGCAGTAGAAGCTGAAGCAGAAGCCGAAAGAGAAGCCGAGAAGCAGCAGAACGAATGCCAGAGAGCCCAGATAGAGTAAAGACTTGCTGGGGGCTGGGAGGCTGGCAGGACCAGCCAGCACCCCAGCCAGCACCCCTGCCTGCCATATGCCTGGTGAACCCCAATAAAAGACCTGCAAAAAACCACTGAGGACTCTGACTCCTCCTTTACCCGGTCTGCATGGGATCAGAAAACCTGCACTGTGTCCAGTCCTGCCTTTACAATTGGCGTAGTCAGCAGGATCCATGCAGACGGGTATTGGAGCCCTCCGAAGACCTGGAGGGACTAAGGAGAACAGACTGTTTGCCTGTGATGACGCTGGAGGCGCCATGGTGGCACAGAAGGTGGACAACGTCCACGAGCTACAGGACGAGACCTGGCATGAAGGAGACGCCCGAGAGAACCAGACAACGACACCCAAAAGGACCGGCCAACGACCCCTGAGGCAGCAGAATCGTCAGGGAGGAGAGAACCACGATTCAGCACTTGCTGGTGCTGATGCAGGGAGAGGCCAATGGACTTCAACTGCTGGACATGGACTGAAAAACTTGGACTGACAATCCCGCCAAAAGGCGGAGGACCTTGGCAGGTTATGTTTTTTTTTTTTTTTTTGAGAATCTGGGGGTGGCCAGTGGGCCTAGATGGCCAAAAGCAGCCTGTGCATGCCCAGCAGCCAGGTGGAGGAGAAAAGCCAACTAAGAAGGCAAAAGCTGGTACTGATGCTAAGTTGAGAAGCCCTAAGCGGCTGTTAAGCAGCCTGGGTATGCTGAAGAACTGTGAGTCTCGTAAAATCACCTGTGGGTGATGCCCTGCTCATTCTTGAGTGAGGGTGAGGAGCTGAGGAACCTGTCCTTGGGGGACGGGTGGGGAATGTGGCTTGGGGTGGAGCCCAAGCCGAATGTAGAGTTTGGATCCCCGACCCATGTGATTGTGCAGTGGGTTGGCTTGAGTGCAGGGGTCTGTGAGTCACACTGGTGGCTGTGAAGGCCGAGTGTTGGAGCGACTGCAGACAGAAACCCTGAGGGTTGGCGATTACCCCCATCAGAATAAAATTGCCAATCCCAGAGCTAGTGCATCCTGGGGGTGGATGCTGTGTGTGCCTTGTAGCTGAGACTACAGCCAGAGAAGGCCAGGAAGCCTGACGGCTCCTGGTGTGATATAGTAGATGCCGTGAGTGATTCCCCTCCCTTGTATGAGCAGTGCCTTCAGCAGCAGATTTGGTGGCTCATCTGCTGGTACCAATAATTGCCTTTTGCACTTGGTTGGTGCCCTGCCTGGACTTATTTGTGTTCTGTTGTATTTTGTTATATTGTATTTTGTTATATTTGATGTATTTGCTTTTGTGGGCCATGGCTGCATTGTTTGTTTGCTTAGAAAATTGTATATATATGTATAGACTGTATGGCAGAAAACCCTGAGGGGGTGGACTGTAGGGTAAAGAAAATATCAAGCTTTTCTGTCCTTCTGCCATCAGGATAGATGATGGATCCTTGTCCTGAATTCATGCCTGATGGCGGGCACCTGGAATAGGGTGTGGGCATAGGTAGATGGGATTCAGCTGAGCTAAGACTGTGCTTTTAAGGGCGGCGTCACGGGGACGCCAGCAGCAGCAGCAGCAGCAGCAGTAGCAGCAGCAGCAGCAGCACCAGAAGCCGAAGCAGCAGCCGAAAGAGAAGCCGATAAGCAGCAGAACGAACGCCAGAGAACCCAGATAGAGTAAAGACTTGCTGGGGGCTGGGAGGCTGGCAGGCCAGCACCCCTGCCTGCCATATGCCTGGTGAACCCCAATAAAAGACTTGCAAAAACCCACTAAGGACTCTGACTCCTCCTTTACCCAGTCTGCATGGGATCAGAAAACCTGCACTGTGGTCCAGTCCGGCCCTTACACTCCGTGATGCTGATTTCTGAGAAAACTGTACAGTATGTATGCATGTTCATCGGTTTGGTTGGATTTGGGGCACTGTTTATAATTTTGCTCACACATTGCCTCTGTTGCTCACAATAAATCCTTTTTCCTTTAATATGGTGTGGTCATTGAATCCCACGGAATCGAGCCTCCCTCAAACACCTGTGCACAGGGCTAGCAACTATATTTTATTGCTAGTAACACATGTCTATTGGTGACATAGATGATATGCTGAGAAATTCATTGGTTGCCTTTTAACCTTCAACAATCCTGAATGTACCAGGGAAAGTTAGGGGGAGATAACAGGAGACCTGAGTGTTTGGTCAAGTTTGAGATTCATAAAAAATCTCTTTTCCAGTGTCAGTTCCAGGCTAAAGAAGCTATTATCCCCATTAACTACACAGCTATTGGCTCTAGAGCTGACATTCAAAGCTTATACCCAGACACTGAGGCAGTTTGAATCAAAGTTCAATTTTCCCTTCAATCCACTCTCAAAGACAAATAGATATATATATTTAATAAAATATATGACACACACAGAGAAACGGGTTTAAAAATCTGGGATTTATGTTGTACTGGAAAATAAAAAGTGTTAAACATGGTGTTTCATTAGAATTCCTCTTCAGAGAGATTATCTACTGAATGAGGAAAAAGACAAAGGTACTGGATGATGGTGAAGATGAATTTAGAAAGTCACTCTAACATCCTTTGGTTTTTCCCTCTTCTTTTACTTCCCTTGATTCAAAATTCTTTCCAGGCAATCCCTGGTACCGAAAGTGGTGTGAACTCCTTATCCTGGAAGAGTGGGTGTGGGGAAAAGAATGCCATAATGAAGGATCATTCTGGAAGCCTGCTGCCCTAAAGGGAGCTGGAGTTTGTGGAGAATACCTGTTTGCTCTGCATACAGAGCAACAGGACGTTAGAAGTTCTGAAAACAGAACTTCTTCCCAGAATTGACTCCTGTTCTCTGAGGATGTACTGTCTTGTGTGCATGTTCCCTACTAACCAGGAATACTTGTTTTCAGTAGTAACTTATTAATCTGTATAAGCACAAACACAATTGTGTGCTATTTTGTTGTTCCTTTGTTCATATCTTCAATAAAAGCTTGGGCTGGGAGAGTGAAAGGCAGAGCTGCTCTTGATGGCACTCCCCCCATTCTCCCCCCATTGCAAATTCATTTAGATTCTGAGTCTTCGTTAATGGCAGAGAACTTCATTGGCTATCCTATATGCGGCAGGATCAGACTTCTTGCCAAGGAGGAGAAAGTGATAAACCAACACGCACACTCCATCAGCCAGGGGTCAATGACAAGAGCAAGATCTATGCTCAAATGGAATGTAGAGAAAGGAGGGTGGAGAAGTGCACAGTTGAACGTCATAGGGAATTGACACATCTAGTGTACGAAATGGGTAGGGGGCATAGTGGATATTCCTGTACTACAAAGGTAATAGCAAAAGCAGAAGTCTCCTTGTTGGTTCCTAGGGCAGTAAAAGGACAGGTGGCCAGAGATATTAGAATGAAAATGAGGGGAAGTGCTCAGGTGGGAGTAACCAAGTGGGATAGAAATATTTCACTATTTTAAACAACTGGTGTTAGTCAACTGGCTATCAACTCTGGGTGGGAGTTAGAAGGATCACTATGAGAGGAAAAAGGCAAAAGGTAAGAAAGATACCAAGACAAAAATGTATCAACTTGAGTTTCACTGCACATAAGCCTGACCTACCTGTGATATTCAGTCTGTACCAGTGATACTGATATGGAAATGCTGTAAATCACCTGCTTTTTCCCTAACATTTTTTTTCTTGCTTCACTGGAAGCCTGAGGGTGATGGAGAGGTAGGGGCTAATGTCTGGCAAAGTGTCCATTTTCCTCAGGGAAGAAGGGGGTGGGATTACCTTCTTGCAGAGGACCATTTGGTGATCAAACAGGAAGAAGACTCGCTGCTGGTTGCGGCCATAGGGCTGGTAGATCCAGGCCATCTCCCCAGTGTAGATGAGCTCCGAGCTCCTGTCTAGGATGTCCTCACCCTGAAAACAACATGTAATCATGAGAAACAGACAGGCAAGACAAATGATCTTGTCACCTGCTTGGAGGCACTTAAAGCCAGATATAGATTTGAGCAGAAGGAAGACAGAAAGGTTTTGGTGGGGAAGAAAAGATGGAAGTAGAGACTCTAGGAACTCTTAAAAGATTCCAGAAAATACTCCATACTCTTGTTCAACCTGAAGTCCCACCTGGAGTTCACCCAGAGCGCCACCACAGAAGACTGCTATAGTTAACTCAAATGCGGGTTGCGTTCTGACCCGGCAGACCTGACACCTGCTGTTATATTTCTCACTTCCCTTCTATCCCTCATTCCCTTTCCCCATCCCTGTCCCTCTTTCACTCCCCCTTTCTCTTATGCTCCCTCTCTCTTTTTCTCTATAAATGACTCTGCATAGTCTTTATTACCAGCTCTAGTTTCGTAGTTTTTTTTTTCTTGTAAATAATAGTAAGCTTATGTGTGCAGTAAAATTCCGTTTTCCAAATGAGTAAAAGAGAACAGGGGAGGGCAAGAAGATGGTGACAGAGAGAAAATATATTCACCTTCTTAAAATCATTTTATTCTTCCTTAAAATCTATTTACTAAAAAGAAACTTCATGGCCATGTGCTTCCTTGGTCTGTTACCCAGAGAGCCTGAAACTACTCCTTGGTTTTGGTTTTTGGCCTTTTGGGGCTTTTTTGGTGGATCTCTGGTCTCAGAGCCTGGGCAGGTGGATGGCCATTTCATCCTTCCATCTGGCCTCCTGCTTTGTGGCTTTCCCTGCCCCTGTTTCAGTTGGCAACCGTGGCAGGACTGGATATCCGTATTTGATCAGCCCAAGGATCCTCTCCTTGTGCTGGTCACCTTAAGTGAAAAAGCAATTGCAAGACACCTGACAGGATTTGATTTGGGAAATATAATTGAATAAGTCATGGGTTCAATTGTTATTTCGGGAGGTTCTGCTTCTCCTCCACCCCCTTCTCCTTTTGCTGCTTCTGCCATAGTTTCTGGATTCATGAGTATTATAAGGTCTGGTGTCAACAAGGTAATATTTATACTATTGGAGTTTTTTTGGGCATATAGTTGGAGCCCAGTTACTAGTATGGTTCCTCGTAGGTATGATAGTACAGATGCTATTTGGTGCAAAGTGAGGGGGGCAGGATATTGTAAAAAAATGCAAGAGCAGATATTGAAACTGCAAGAGCAAGAGAGGTTGTCCTCCAGAAATCAGATTTGGGGAAGGTAGAAGTCCATTTGATGGCCCAGAGGAAAGGGGACCAACCTTTCCCTTCTAGTGGTAATAGGGAATCACAGGAAGAGGAGGACCGACACTTAATGGAAACTTTGAATCCACCAGTGGAGAATCCCTCCCATGTGGCCAGTACACCTCCTAAGGAGGTTGTGAAGGCTCCATAAGCCCCACTGTCCCCCAGTAATAAGACTTCTTTTCATATTAGATGAGGCACTCAATTTGCTCAAGGAAATTGCTCTGGGGCAGGACAATTTCCTCTTCGTCAATTCCCAATGGGGGGATTGAACAAATGAGGTCAGCCTGCTGCATATTATTGGTCTTATCCCTTTTCCATAAGGATCTCTTCTTAAATTGGAAAAGCTCTATCCCTTAGTACTGGCAAGACCCCCAAAAGATGGCAGATTTGTTTGCCTCAATTTTTGCCTCTCATTGGCAAAGTTGGGCAGGCATACTGTCTATGTTAAATACATTGCTTACATGTGATTAGCAAAGGATGGTTTTGGGAAAAGCTAGGGAAGAAGCTGGTCATCTCCACTTGGAAGATATAGGTAAACCGGAATTGGAGGAGGCTGTTCTTTTGGTAGACCCTAACTAGGATCCCAATAATGGAGACATGGAAATGTTGGAGCACTATCAAAAGTGTCTATTAGTGGGGTTAAGGCAGGGGATCCCAAAACAAAAGATATTTGGTAAAATATTAGAGGTACATCAAAAGGCTAATGAAGATCCTTCTGAGTTCTTAGAATGAACTATGCAGGCACACAGGAGATACATGGATATAAACCCAGATGTTCCAGAAAACAGTAGGATGGTAAATATGATATTCATTGCCCAGAGTACTCCAGCTACAAGGAGGAAGTTAACTAAGATTGAGGGTACTGTAGAAATAACTCTTTCCCAATTAATGGACATTGCATTCAAAGTCTACAATGGAAGAGAGGAAAGGAGACCTAGGCATGCAATGGTATGTGTGGGAAGAGAGTGCAGGACCAGGTTCAGAAGGAAGAGAAGAGCCAATAAGAGAACCTCTAAGTAGAAATCAATGTGTATATTGGAGAGAAGAAATTCATTGGAAAAATAGATGTCCTTGGTAAGAAAGGAAAAGAGGCCCATGAAATCTCAAAACAGGGATTCATATAAACACTGTAAAATAGAAAATGGGCAAAATATGAGAAGTGAAAGACCAAGAAATGAAGAGAAAAGGCAAATGGTGGTTAAGAAGGACAGTTCAGGGCCTCCCTGGTGACGCAGCGGCTGAGCGCTGGGTTGCGAAGCTGCCCGCAGCCTCTGCAGCGCAGGTTCGATCCCTGGCCCTCGGCGAGGGTCCCACATGGTGCACAGACCTCTCCTGCTGCCCGCTGCTCCCCTCAGCAGTGTGCTTCGGTCCTTCTGCCTGTTCTGCTCCCTTCTCTGGTTCTGGTGAATTTTCTCACCCTCCCACACTTCTGACTGTACCCAGTGCTTGTATAAATAAATAAATCTTAAAAAAAGGATAGTTCAGATGAGAAATAGAGGTGCCCAGGGGTTCCACTCAATATGAAAAGGCCTATTGGAGCCATGGGCAACACTTAATGTGGGGGATTGTTTGGTAGATTTCTTGGTTGACATTGCAGCAACCTATTCAGTTCTAAATTCAAAATTAGCACGAGTAACAAGAAAACTGTACCCATCACAGTGGTTATGGGAAAGCCATAACAAAAAGCCTTCCTACAACTGTTAGATTATCAATTTGGAGACAAAAATTTGCAACATAGACTCCTTTATATGAGGAATGCCCTATTCCATTCCTTTGTTGTAATCTGCTTAGTAAATTGAAGGCTCAATTTATCTTTTCACCTCAGGATCAGAGGGTACACTTACAGGTACCCCCAGAACATGCCTTGTATTATTGAATGATAGTTACCCAGGATGCTCCACCAAAAGGTGAAACATTGCTCACAGGGTAAATAGTATGGTCTAATGGAACACCTGGGTGTGCCAGAAATGTAAATCCTATAAGAAATGAATTGGTGAAAGGGAGCAAAACCCCAAGGGAAAAGCAGTATCCTCTGAAAGAAGAGACTTTGAGAGGAATTCAGCTGCTATTAATGAGATTTCTACAGGATGGACTCATTCAGCCCTGTCACTCCCCAAATAATACTCCCATATTACCAGTAAAGAAACCCCACACAGAAGAATATTGTTTTGTACAGGATTTGGGGACAATTAATGATATTGTTGAACATTATCATCCAATGCTGCCAAATCCTTACGCTGGTATACCTGGAGATTATGGTTGGTTCTCTGTATTGGACTTGAAGGATGCTTTTCTCTGCATCCCAGATGCTCAGGATCAGAAGATTTCTGCTTTTGAGTGGAAGGACCCAGTTTCCAAAACTGCTTCATGATATTGCTGGACTGTGTTTCCACAAGGATTTAAGAATTCTCCGATGATTTTTTTTTTGGGAAATATTGGTGAGGGATCTTTAAAAGATACATTTGAAACCGGGCATCCTCCTGCAATATGTGGATGACCTATTGATTGCTATGCCTGACTATGACTCTTGTTTGGAAAATATTGTGTTGGTCTTGAACCATCTAGCAGAATGTAGTTACAAGGTGTCACCACAGAAGGCCCAGCTATGCAAGAAAAAAGTGGCATACCTGGGGTTTGAGATTGAAAAGGCAAATGGCTGAGAGGAAACAGGTAGTTTCTGCACTTAAGGTTCCTAGCAGTAAAAGGCAGTTATGTGGATTTTTGGGAATGGCCAGGTTTTGTAGAATTTGGATCCCCAATTTTGGACTTACAGCAAAACCTCTTTTTGAAGCTCTCAAAGGCCCAGACTCTGAACATTTATGTTGGACTCTTGAATACAAACAGGCCTTTGAGAAAATAAAGAGTAAATTGAATGAAGCACTAGCTTTAGGATTGCCAGCCCTAAGCTTTTCAGACTGTATGTCCCTGAAAGAGAAGGAGTTGGACTGGGAGTGTTGATGCAATTATTGGGACCAGAAATGCAGCCCATTGCATATCTGTCCAAACAGTTGGATCAGACGACTAAGGGATGGCCATCATGTTTGTGGGCTGTGGCTGCAACTTGTTATCTTCTGCATGAAGTAGAAAAGTTTACTTTGGGCCAGCCCATTACTGGTCAGAACACCAGGTTCTGACATTGTTAGAACAAAAGGGTGGACTTTGGCTGACTGCTGGGTGTTTTGAAAATATGAAGCTGCCCTAATGGATAATCCCACTGTATAGTTACAAGTGACCAGTTCTTTAAACCCACCTACTTTGCTCCTAGTTAATACAGGATACTTTGAAGATGGGACTCTAGCCAATAATTGTCTGGAGATTATTGAAACTAAGCCTGCTAGCAGGCCAGATTTATCTGACAAGCCTCTGCTAGATCCAGATTTGGAGCTGTTTACAGACGGGAGCTGCTTTATGAACCAGGACCACTGATGTGAAGGATATGCAGTGGTGACACTTAAAAAGATACAGAAGCCAAGGCCCTTCCAGCAGGGACATCAGTTGGCCTGAGTGCAGGGGTCTGCGAGTCACATTGGTGGCTATGAAAGCTGAATGTTGGAGCGACTGCAGACAGAAACCCTGAGGGTTGGTGATTACCCCCAACAGAATAGAATCGCCAATCCCAGAGCGAGTGCATCCTGGGGGTGGATGCTGTGTGTGGCTTGTAGCGAAACTATAGCCAGAGAAGGCCAGGAAGCCTAACGGCTCCTGGCGTGTTACAGTAGATGCCGTGAGTGGTTC